AGAGGAGATATACTCCCCTGTGGTGGATGCTAAGACATTTAAATTTTTGCTAAGTCTGGCTATATAAAAGAAAAAGATTTGCGGCTAATGGATGTAATGCCTGCATATTTATATAAGTCCACTGGATAATATATGAGATTACCAGAGGGTATTGAGCTCAAAGATAAGAAAGATTTTCGAGAACAGCACTGCATAAGGCTGGGCAAATCCTTATATGGACTGAAACAAAGCGGACGTATGTGGTATAACCGGTTAAGCGAATATCTCATCAGAGAAGGCTATAAAAACGATCCGATCAGTCCATGTATTTTTATCAAGAAGTTTGCAAACAAAGGATTTGTAATCATAGCAGTGTATATGAATGATTTAAACCTCTGGATAATCGCTCAAACAGTTGAGTATATCTAAAGAAAGAATCTCAAATGAAAGACCTAGGCAATAATTAAGTTCTGTTTGGGATAACAACCTGAGTACGTGAATAATGGAATCCTTGTGCATCAAATGGCATACACTGAAAGAGTACTCAAGGAAATTTAATAAGGACCAGGCCCGCCCATTGATCAGGCCCAATGGTGGTGAGAAGCCTCAAATTGGATAGTGATCCATTCAGTCCGGAAATGCCATACCTCAGTGCCATAGGAGTTCTAATGAATTTGGCTAGACACACTAGACCAAACATTTGTTTTGCCGTGAGTCTCCTGTCTAAATTTAGTTCATGATCAACCCAAAGGCACTGGAAAGGTTTAAAGGAAGGTTTGGTTAAATTTTAAAGTTTATTCTTCCTGCGTTGTTTACTTGGGTTTATTCTATACTGATCTAACCAAAGAAGGTCTAGTTTGCTTTGGTTTAGTTTGATTTGCTGATGCAGGTTATTCATAAGATCAGATTATGGCATGGTCAATGAATAGGAACTACGTGTGGCTTGATCCCTTCCAAGGGTACGTAGGCAGCCTTCCTTAAGGCGCAACTACTACTACTACTACTACTACTACTACTACTACTACTACATCAAAGACCATCATATTTGAAGACAACGCAGCCTGTATTGCTCAACTCAAGGACGGCTACACTAAGAGAGACCGGACGAAGCACATTTTGCCAAAGCTCTTATTCACTCATGAATTACAGAAGGACGGTCAAGTCAAAGTTCAACAGATCCGGTCAAGTGAGAATTCAGCCGACCTATTCACCAAATCATTGCTGACTTCAACGTTCCGGAAGCTCATTCATCAGATCGGGATGCGCGGACTTAAGGATCTACAGTGATGCTCAAATCAGGGGGAGTAATGCGTGTTGTACTCTTTTTCCTTCACCATGGTTTTGTCCCACTGGGTTTTCCTGGTAAGGTTTTAATGAGGCAACATTCTCCAGCGCATTATAGAGATCCCGGTTTAGTATCGGGCACGGTTATGTCTTCCAAGGGGGAGTGTTATAAACCATATAGATGGACTCCATAACCGGTCCATGGCCCATTAAGGTTTTACCTTATTCTCTGTATCCTGCTATTATCCTTGTATATATATCCCCTATCCTATTAATGAAAGACACAGTTCACAACAAATATCTGAATTTTGTGGAAGTAAAACATTTTAGACTTTTGATGCAACTAGAAAATAGAACAATGCATGCAAACACTTTTACAAGTTTGGTCCCTCCATTTGAAGGATATCTACACCTTAAGGTTGGTTCTTCTATAACAATTCACTATAAGCAGAGCCGGACCAATGAAATTCGGGGCCCCATCTACATATACATTTTTATAGTACTTTTTTGCTTTAATTCTTTTGGATCCGGATTTGACCCGGGTTTTAGTCTATTCGGATCTTGAATTAGCAATTTAAGGGATGTTGTCTTAATTTCAAACTAATAAATGAAGTCATGTTGTCTTAATATCTTTCATATTAATGACCCTAATAAATAGCCGATTTTAATGGAAAATCGTTTTCATATTTATGCTCATAATAAATGTCCAGATTTTAACAATATATACATATATTATGAAATTATAAAGAAAAAAACGTATTTATTTTTTTAACAGTATATATATATATATTATGTTAATAAATTTGTTTAATATTCTAATAATAAGCTATGTCATTTTTCTTTTACAATAACAGATTAAATATAGGCAATTGCCCATTTAAATTGCAATAAATTTAAAATCAAAATAACAATCTACATATATATTTTTGCAGGGTTTTTTGCTTTTAATAATTTGGATCCGGGTTTTACTCGGTTTTACTATATCCGGATCTTGGATAAGACATTTAAGGAAATCTAAAAAAACCCGTCATTAATGTAGATAATTACACATATATTTCGGTATAAGCATATTCCAAAAATCTCTCCCAAATCAAAGATGTTACGTTCAAAAATTGTTGCCAAAAATCTCTCGCTTTCCTTCTAAATCTCTACCATTGGCTGTCATCCCAACTAATTACTCATAATTATCTTTCCTATATTTCTTTTTTTTTCGAGATTTGCAAGAAAATTATTCAATTCCAAAAATAAAAGATTTTGAAGATATTGTGTACTTGATCAGCAAGATTTTAGGAACTCACTCACCCAAAACCCTATAGTATTCTCAAAACATTATAAATACCTTTCATTAATTAGTCTAATAAAAACTCACCAGTTTTATAGAAAATGAGAAATCGCAGACGTGATGCAATCTGTACGGACTCCGGGAAGAGCTAGGAGACAGTGGTGAACCGGGATCTAAACCTCGCCGACGATGTGAAGATGGTGACGAGGAGGAGATCGTAATTCTTTAGGTTTCGATTGGCAAAACAAGACGATCGGCGATCCAAAGCTCCACCGCCTGAAACGCAACATCGAATTGATCACACCGAATATCTTCAGATTTCGGATATGCTTTTCCAGTGGTAGCTTCAAAATACACGCCGGGAACTCCTTGATACGCTACACGGAGAGTAGATCCATGCGTTTTGCTGCAGCTTTGAAGAAACAAGGCTCAGATCGACGGAGCCGTTACTGTGACCGTTAACGACGGTGACTTCATCTGCTAAACCACCGATGATTGAGTTTGAACTTTTCGTTTCTAAGTTTTTCATTTTGGGTATATGGGAGAGTTGAATAAAAACAAATTGGGTTCTGTAGGTCTTTACAAAATTGGTAGACATGATTCTTTGTTAATGAGTTCTAATACTCTATGTGTTTATTTTTTCATTATGTGAACTAATGAAAGTTGCATACTTAAATTTTTTTTCATGGCAGTTCTAAACATATTATTTTTAATATTTGTGATTATATAACAATAATAGGTTAGTGTTAATTACATGGATCATTAAGGTTTGAATAGTGATAAAATAATTAGAAAATACAAATAAAATAACAAGGCCGGTGCAAAACTATTAATTCAGACCTTAATTATCGGATCAGTTCAAGCTTTAACCCATGTCTTTTTCTGAAATTGCTAAAAATAAGCAATGTTCTCAAATAAATTCAAATATCAAATCTTCATAAATACATTAAATACGTAAGATTTAAAATTATGGAGCACTCTTTTCTAATTAAATTCAAAAATTTCTAATTCAAAAATTTATAATTCAAATATTTCTAATTGATATATTTAAATTTTTTGGCTTTTGTTTGCCCATTTAGCTATGGTTTTTGAGTTTTTTATAAAATATTTTAAATATTACGGGACGAATTGTATGACACGGGTTTGGTTAGGATTGATATTAATATAAATTTAAAATATCACTAATACATCGCTATAACACATATTAAATCCTTATTTTATTATTTAAAATTTAGCATACGGTATACCGCGAGTAAAATCAGTATAAAACGGGTTAAATCAGCATCTTATTCAAAATCATACAATTGAATCTATTGTTTTTATACTACGTCTATCTATAAAATTTCGATTTTTGTAATAAAATTTCGTCTCACGGTATATTATACATTTAAATTAAACAAAACAATAATATATATCTATAGAGTATCTTAAAACAAAACTTAATAAATTTTTCTAATAAAAATATAGACCCGCGGTGTACCGCGGGTTAACATCTAGTTTAAAATAAGAAAACAAAGTATTCTTGTCTTAAAAACAGAGTTCTACCAAAGGATCTAACTTAAACCAATTTAAACAAAACTATTGTTTTTCAAACAAAATACAATAATATTCTGAAAAAGAAAAGAAAAAACAGCTTAAATCTTTTTCTCAGAAATTAATATATATATATATATATATATATATACCTAAAAAAAAATTTATGTGGGGCTCCTAGAAAATGGGGACCCCATTGCAATGCCTCATATTAATGTGTCTTGGTCCGGCTCTGACTATAAGACTGACTATTTTACAAGATCAAGTGTCTCAAGACTCTCAACTACAAGTCTACAACAAAAAACAAAAACCCTCTCATGTGATTCTTCTTTCGCATTCGTTATCTGTTACAACAACTAGAACATATACTAGCTTTTAACAGATAACGAATGCGAAAGAAGCTGTTAAACTAGTCCATCTCAAATAATGTTTTTTGGATAAAATCAATCTCCATTTGTTCAGCTCCAATAACCAAAATACTTTGTAATTAATATGATGAACTCAAGATTAACAAGATCAATAGGTAAGTTTTACAAAAAAAATCTACAACACATTTGAATAATACTAACAAGCGTGGGGAATAAGATAGGTAAGAAACTAATTTGAGGCATTTGTATATACCATATCATATTGTAATAACTCCAAAAAGTGTTGTTATTTGTTTCACTGCCTGGGATTGTTGGCGAGGAACAGTGATGGATAATGGGTCGCAACTTGCAGGACATATGGGTCTTCATAATTAAGACTCTGCAACAATAAATACATTTCTCGTGGGGATCATCATAATATGCATATTGGTGTATGTATGTGTCTGCATGATCTAATAACCAACAAAAAACGGTAATGGTAAAAGTAAATAACATGATGGGAGAAGGTAAAGAAAAGGTAAAAACCCCAAACAGTTGATAACCAGTAGACAGAAAAATCTGGTAAAAGTCTGGGTCTTCTTCAACGTTCTCAATTATTACAAGTACTACAAACATTTTCGATAATGACAACAATACACAAAGAGGTGAATAGAGATAATAATACAAAAAAGGGATTTTTATCACATGCACACACACTTCTTCTAGTAATGTAACAATCCACATTTGAAAACAAACCTTCACAATGCAAAAATCAGCACAAGAAACCGCAAAGAAAGAGAGGCGTGATTGCTCAATCTTGAGTTTTAAGAATCTTGAGGAGTCTCGAATCTAGTCGGTGTGTCGATGCCCGCCATACAACAAAGTCCACTTATCAAGATGAGAAGAAAAACGATTCCCTGAAAAGAAGAAAGAGACCTTATCAAAGACTATTTAGATAAGGAATCACAAGCTTCAAGCTAGAGACATTAAGCGTTAAAGCATGTTTATTAGACCAAAGTTGCTTAATAGTGATGGTGATTTTACCACTAAGATACCCTCCAAGAGTGATGACTTAAATTTGCAGAGTTCATCACAGGTTGTAGTAGCTTCAGCTGTGGTGTTTCCTGTAGCGGCTTCAGCCAAAAACCTTTGGAGAGTTTGGTATGAAGTGTACCAATAAGGATCAGAAACATATAGAGCTGTGTATTTAGTTTCAGACTGCTCCACTGAACTAACAAGCTCAGAGATGATTTCACCTGCATATATGGTTAAAAGGAAACTTACTTAACTTAATACGAGTATCAAAATGCTATACTTCTTCTGTAACCATGATCTGTCCACTTACGATCTGAATGTGACTGGTCAGATTGACTTGATGATTCAGATCCCCCAGAGCAGAGCACAACCAAGTCAGTTTCTCCTTCTTTTCTCGTTTCTTTTCTAGCAACTAAATGATCCTGTCGATTTTACAGAAGTAAAATTAGAAGGTTCAAGAGAAAGGGTGGGTAAAAAAGAATGTGAACTATTATTATTGATCCAAATGCAAGGGATTTGGGAAAGCATAAACATAAGAACAACAGATTACTTTGAAAGACTGCACATTCGATAGTTTCTGAATTGTTCCATCCTCAACGAAACACGAGTCTGAGAACACGACATTGGTGACTCCTACATTGTGAGCACAAGCTTCTTTAAGCCCTGAAAGCAACAAATTTTCCATCCTTTCCTCCTCTGGTGCAGCAATATACGGGAATGCCAATGAGAAATTGGAAGCTGTATACAGATTCTGATAAATAACAAGGAACTGAATGTTAAATATCGTGCAGAGTTAAGAATGCCAATATGTAACACATCCATGATTCCACAATATAAGTAAAACTAACTTACCTTCAAAATATTAACAAGGGCAGGATCCGAGTTCCGATTTGAAGAAACATCTGAAGACAGTAACTGCAAACAGAAGAGAGTGCTTAGTAGAAATCACAGTAGCCAATGTTTATGACTTGTAAATAGTAAGCAAGATAGATGCTTTTAAGGCCAAGTTTCTTCAACATATCCCAAATTGAAGATCAACAATCTGAAATCCTAAATATAGAGTAGCCAGTTCAATAATACATAAACTCATACCTCTCTGCCAATGAACACGAGTGCAACATCAACAGGTTGCTGAAGGTTTTTCTCCGAGCACTAAACAATGGAGACAGTAAAATAGATATGAGAATGAAACCATTGCATTGTGTAAAAAGTTAAAAACTTTTGCTTGCGGGCTCAGCACGAACATACCAGAAAATTAGACCAGCCTCCTTGAGTAAAAACAGAGTCTACTAGATCCTTTGCAGACATAACTTGATAATTTACATCCATTTCACCATTAGCAGACCTGGAATTCATCAATTATCCATATAAGCACAAATCCAGAGTACAAATGCAATGAAAGTTGGTAAATTTAGTCATATAAGCCTCGGAAATGGTAAAAAGAAGGATCAGAAGAGAGAGAGAGGCCTAACTGGAGATGCGGAGACCAGAGGAAAGCAGGAACTGTAGAAGGTGAAGCTAATCCAAAATCAAGAGCTACCAACAACGCCACTAGAACGATTCGCATCCTCATCATCAAAACAGTTGGACCTAGAAATTCGAGATCAATCCAGAGATTCCACTCGAATTCAAACAAATCTTCAGCCTTCAAAAACAACAACTCTCCAAGAACAGAATCATCTCCGATCCTCTCAAATCTGGCAGAACAAGTAAAACGACACCGTTTGATGACTAATAACCCACAAAACCGAATCTGGTTTACGTAGGCGAACCGGTCTGCATTTAACGGTCGGATTGAATGACACTGAATCTGGTTTAGCTAAGATTAGGGCCAATTGGGCCCTTAACACATTACGGCCCATACCAATATAAATTAACAAACCATGAACCAGAGATATCACTCACCGGCACTACTTACTTGTAATCAGAGAGACTCACTGATGTGAGTTACATATCTTTTGCATTGGATTTCGGTGCAAATAAATACTCCACTTTTCTTTGCCACTGTTAGCCGTTTGTCAATCTTTCCCACTCTGCCCGATCTTAAAAGTGAAGAGTTGTAAATTATCAACAAGGTTCTCTAATGATATAGTACTAGTGGTTTTGAAAGACAACCAACTATCATACACGTCCCATCATTTTATACCGGAAGTAAATTTGAGCTCATTTATTATTTACCATTTTCATTTGGAGATACGATAGAGTTAGTTTATAAGAAAACGATATGATGTAAACTAGCTACCACTAATTTCAATGTTGAAGATGGTAAATGTTGCTTAATTTTCTCTATTATCATCCTACAGCAAACGATGTAAACTACCACCTGCCATGATCTAAGTGCAGTTTTCGTTGTTAATATTGATCGAGAGACCTTTTTGCCAAGGATTGGACTCCAAGGTCTGGTTTGTCAGACGGAGCACTACAATAATGACATAACCAACTCAAAAACTATTCATAAGAATCGAAAAAGAAAACTAGACACATGTAGCCAATTATGTTTTCTTTTCTACCAAGTCGCAGCAAAGAGAAGTCACAAAGAATATATAATACAGTAAACTTCACAAATTCAACAAGAACACAGTGACAAACTAAATCAACACTTCAATTCCAAAGTTAAACAATAAGGATCAGGTTCAACGTTCTCAATTATTAGAGGTACTACAAACATTTTCGATAAAGACAAACAATACACAAAGAAGTGAATTGATAATAATACCTAAAAGGGATTTTTATCACATGCACACATACACTTCTTCAAGTAATGTAACAATCCACCACATTTGAAAACAAACCTTCACAATGCAAAAATCAAAACGAATATGATGTAGATATTGCGCTTAGGATTTTTGAAATGGAAATGAAACAAAGAAAGCTTGATAAAGCAAAACAGATAATGTCCACCAACCTTATGGCTCATTTCTTCCTCTTATCTTGTATTATCATCTTCTTCTCGAAGGAAAGACGATCAAGAACTGCCGACTTCACATTCTTCATATTTTCCACTATTTTAGAGAAGTCTTTTTCTTCGAACTTAAACTTCCCTAGGAGAGCTTCTGTACTCTCCAGAGATGGTTTCATATCATCCAGATAAAGCTGCAGAGCATTCTTTCTCTCAGAATCACCAATTTTAGGGATCATGCGTTCAAGCATTTTTAGTTGCCTTTGGCAGTCGTCCAACTTAACTCTCAGAATCTGCTGCATCTCGTACTTAGATTCTGACTCTGCCACTATCTTGGAAGAGGAACCTAAACGAAAAAACACAATGTTTTCAATTTTCTTTTCTTTTTTTATATACCTTTATCATCGTTGTCACTTTTCTTTGTTTCAGTTTTTAAAACAACAAGTTCCACGGGTCCAACTTCAGAAGAAAAATCAATTAGTATGAAAAAATTTGGTAGCAAGAGTAAATGTTTAGTATTACGACTTACTTGGATCCCCAACAGTCTTGATTCCCCTGAGTTCAGCAGTATTATCCTCTTCCTGGCCATCTTAATTTTCCGGCAACAAGACAGATAAGTGTTGCAGATAAGTACTCATGGTCTATCATCTCAAGTAAAGTTTTGAGCAAAGAAACTTACCAGGAGATTCCCTTTTTACATCAGACGGCTCCATCTGCTTCAAGTCTAAAATATGATGTGAACGACAAGTAGTTGAGTTTTAAAGTTGAAAGAACAAAAAACCCTAGTTGTGTATAGAAAATAAATCTTATAAAATATGTTAATAAACGAAAACGTATAAAAGAAAACAGGAATTTTGGAAACGTATCTTTATTAGTTTACAAATTCGAAAATATGATTATTATTATTTTTTGAAAATACACTATTCAGAATCATAATTTACCAAGAGATCCTCATTAAAGCTTATAATTTGTAATGGGTATCTACATTCCTGATATAAATTCATTTCTTTCCACGGATTAAAAATTAACGAAGAGGATCCAATACAACACAACAAGACAAAACAAACCAAAAAGAACAAAAGGGTACGAGAACAAGCAAAAGGACAAAACAAGAAGAAGGAAAAACGAAGTTTGTGGTGACACTTTGAGCGATCGGTGAATCTCCTCTAGTTGTTTCTTCTTTGCAATCTCTAAACGCCAAGCATTGAAGTGAGATGCAGACCGGGAGAGTTTTCTGCATGGTAAGAGAAGGAAGGCCAAGCCTTTGGTCTCAACATCACACCAAACAGGTGAGCCAGATTAGCTCCGAACACCACCTTATCAAAACGATGAGAAATCATATGAAAGTGCATACATTGTTGGAACAGTATTGAAGAACATATGAGATCGAGATATAGTCTTTCTAACGTGAAGGCAAAAAAACCATGTGAGCCATTATTCAAGTTAAGTCAAACTGTCTTGTAGAGACTTGAAGCGTGACTTGAGTCCAATTGTCAACGGAGATGATGACAGAAAACTACGTTGTTTTATTTAAGAAGAAATATCGAAATCAAAGTTTTAGTTCTCAGAATTGACCTTTGAAGCATTCCTACAAACTTTATATTAGTTGAGCCGACATCACTTATATGTTATATTAGGAGATACAACGCAATATATAAACAACACTGTAGATTCTCGTGGATGTCTTCGTCTTATCCCGTTCGTCAGCTTCTTCTTTACAGAGATCATCCACTCTGGTTGCTTTATCCTTCTCTGATTTCATTTGTTTAGCAAAGAGAACCGGTCTGTCGCTGAATCTGGTTTAGCTAAGAGAAGCGGTCTGGTGTGTCAAATAAGGGCCAATTGGGCCCTTAACACATTACGGCCCATACTAATTTAAATTAACAAACCCTGAGCCGTCGTCGACTCATCGGACCAGATATCACCGGCACTTGTAATCAGAGAGACTCACTCTCGAGTCCTCGTTTGTCGAATTTCGTCCTCTCTGCTTCCCGCCCAAAAACTTTGGGATTCAGCCATTGAAACAACCTTGAGAAGAGTTTTAAAGATGAGCAAAGTTGAGATTGAAGAAGATATGGAAGGAGATCGCATCTCAACGAACGATTACTACTTCGAGAAGATCGGCGAACCTATCAGTATCAAAGAGGATGACGCTCAATACGATATCGAAAACCCTCCGTCACAGCCTCTCGCTATCTCCGAACGTCACGGCGTCGTCTTCGTCGCCCATTCCTCCGGTTAGTTTTCGTAATCGGCGATGGTACATGTTTTTGCTCGTGCTGTTTATGTATTGTGACCGTTCTGTGTGGAAATTAGGGTTTTTTGTTGGGAGGACTAAGGATGTAATTTCTGCATCGAAGAACAGTAACGGGAACGGTGATAAGGTTTATATCCAGGATTTGAGCCTCGTTGATGTTCCTGTTGGGGACGTTCGTATATTGTCTCTCTCGGCGGATGATTCGATTCTGGCTGTCACCGTTGCTGCCGATATTCATTTCTTCTCTGTGGATTCACTTCTTAAGAAGGTACACGGCTCGACTAGCTGGATTGCTTTGCTATGATGTAGAATCTATGTTGATTGATAGTTTACTTACTTTGTCTCTTCCTTTGGTGCAGGATGCAAAACCTTCTTTTTCTTATTCACCTGATGAGTCAGGCTTTGTTAAGGATTTTCGGTGGATAAGGAAAGATAAGCATTCTTATCTTGTTCTTTCGAATACTGGGAAGCTCTTTCATGGAATTGACAATGCACCCCCTAGACATGTTATGGATGCTGTTGACGCCGGTTTGTTTCAATTTTTTTTTGCTATTTCTTCAGCAAAAAACCATGTTTTTGGCAATTATGGAAGATCGACTCTGTAGGTATTTACTTGTAAACTTTGTTTTGTTTGTCAGTTGAATGGAGTTCAAAAGGGAGTTATATCGCTGTGGCCCAAGATAACAGCCTGCGGATTTTATCGTCAAAATTTAACGAGAAGCGGTGCATAGCACTATCATTTGACGACTGGATTGGTGATTCTGATGAAGACTGTTCAGTGAAAGGTATGTTGCAGGTTTTGTCCTTCTTATTTCTTATCAGTACTTTCCGTTTTGTTTCAAGTTGCATTGTTGTTGTATGGTGTTTGATATGTTTCTTATGGACTGAGTCGTACTGTATTCTGGTGCGTTGATATGCTATATACAAATTGATCCTGTTGAAAGTTCTCGTTTCTTTCTATCTCCCATCTATATCTACGTTAAATCCCTATAGTTCTGTATCTCTTAGACTGGTGTTGAAACTTCCCTAGTTCCGTGCACACTTCCATTGCAAAGTTTCATAGATGGCTCTCATATTAAACCCTCTCAATGAATGACTGTTTACCAACAACACTCTGCAACAGTTGATTCTATCAGATGGGTACGCAACAACTGTATCCTTCTCGGATGCTTTCAGCTGATTGATGGCAGGGAAGAAAATTACCTTGTTCAGGTTATTAGGAGTCCAGATGGGAAGATTTCTGATGTGAGTAACATTTCTTTTGCATTGATTTTGGTGCTGAGGCGTAGATACTGGTTTTTAGTTTCTACTAAGAGATAACACCTTTTTTGGGATGGAATAAAACAATAGGATCTGTAACTTTACTTATATATTTATCTGATTTTGTGATTCTTTTGAACTTTTTGGCAGGGTTCATCCAATCTGGTTGCTTTATCCTTCTCCGATTTGTTTCCATGTTCTATGGATGATATTGTTCCAGTTGGTGTTGGACCTCATTTGCTCTTTAGCTACATAGACCAATGGTACGTCAGGCTAATTTTACTGTTCTTTCTATTCTTTTCATTTTGTTCTGTTTTTTTTTTTTCTTTCATAAATACTCCACTTTTCTTGCTCACTGCTAGCCATTTGTCATTCTTTCCCACTCTGGATTTAATATCCGATCTTAAAGTTTTTTTCCCATACGTAACCAACTTGGAAGAGAACTAAATTACCAAGAATGTTCTAATGAGAATGGTTTTCAAATACAACAAACTATGATACAAGTTCCCATCATTTTATACTAGAAGTAAATTTGAGCTCATTTCATATTTACCATTTTCGTTTGGAGATGCAATAAAATCAGTTTAATTGTTCCCGGCATTTCCTCTTTATGAATTAATAAACGGACTATGTAAACTACCACTATTTTCAATGTGAAGATGGTAAATGTTGCTGTGTTTTCACCGTACAGCAAACTGGCGGTCACAGCAAACAGAAAGAGCATAGATGAGCATATTGTTTTGCTGGATTGGTCACCTGGTGATAATAAAACTGCAGTTTCCGTTGTTGATATTGACCGAGAGACCTTTTTGCCAAGGATTGGGCTCCAAGGTATGCAGTCCAGAGTTGCTGTATTGTATGTTTATTTTTCCGTACAGTTACACGTTTGATACAAAGAAGATAATTTGTTTTTTCAGAAAATGGCGATGACAATACGATCATGGGACTCTGTATCGATAGGGTTTCTGTTGCAGGGACTGTTAATGTCCGTTCCGGAAGTGATGAACTTAAAGAACTCCCGCCATATTTTGTTCTTGTGTGCCTCACTTTGGAAGGAAAGCTGGTCATGTTTAATGTCGCTAGGTAGACTTTATTTCTCACAATGGTTTTAACTCATTGTTGTTGACAACATTACTTAAAACATCAAATTGTGTTCCTCGACAGTGTTGCAGGACCCCCAGCTTCATCTGATGCTGATTTGGCCTCTTCTTCTGATATAGAAGATGCTTATACCCCTTTGATTGAAGATGACCTTTCTAAACAATCTTCTGAAGAGCCTGAAGAACATCAGCAGTTGAATGTTTCAGTACAAAATGAACAGAAGCACCTCAACGCAGAGAAGTTCTCTACTGAACAAAGTTTCCCAAATGAAAACATTTTTAGTAAGGAATTTGAGTCTGTAAAAAGTTCAGTGTCTGAAGACAACAAGAAGAAGCAAGAACCATATGCTGAAAAACCGTTACAAGTAGAAGATGGTCAACAAAGCATGATTCCTAGGCAGTTCGGAACAAGTTTTGGGCAATCACCTGTGTCCTTAGGATATGACACCAACAAATTTTCAGGTTTCGGTCCTGCCCTCTCTGTTTCCGATAAGCTTCAGAAAGATGTATCTGCGCAGTCCAAGTCTATGCATTTGCAGGCCAATGTTGAGTCAAAGAGTACACCAGCTTTATTTGGATCTCCTGGCCTGCAGAACTCAATTTTTCAGTCACCACTAAATACGTCATCTCAGCCATGGTCAAGTGGGAAAGGCGTCTCACCTCCAGATTTTGTACCTGGTCCCTTTCCTTCTGTGAAAGATACTCAGCATAAGCAATCTGTACAGTCTGGAACTGGTTATGTGAATCCTCCTATGAGCACTAAAGAAACACCTGTTCAAGTTGTTGAGACTGGTAGAGCATCAGCTCTGAGCAATTTAAGTTCTCCGCTAGGCCAAAATTGGGACACTAATGAAGGGGTGGAGAAAATTGAGCCAATACCTTCTATCCGTGCCTCTCAATTGTCACAACAGGTGAAATCTTCCTTCGAAAAATCGGCTAGTCATCAGCAGCACAAAACTCCGCTCAGTGCTGGACCTCTGAGACTTGAGCATAACATGTCAAAGCAACCCAGTAATGTAATGTTTACTCATGATAGTAATTAATTTTTGTATGATTTTTTCATAATATGTATTCTAGGACAGGGTCATCCGACATTCATGGTTTCACATTCATGCCTTGCTGTAGTATTTTACTAACAGGACTTATACCATTGGTGTAACTGACTCTTCCTTTCTTGTACCAGATAAATGAGATGGCCAGAGAAATGGATACACTTTTACAGTCCATTGAAGGACCGGGTGGTTTCAAGGATTCTTGCGAAGTTTTACTGAAAAGCCATGTTGAAGAACTGGAGCAAGGACTTGAAAGTCTTGCTGGCAGGTGCCAAACGTGGAAGGTAAAATGTAAAAGTTCACGTATTTTGTTATTGGTT